ATTCATTCATTCATTCATTCATTCCTTCATTCCTTCATTCATTCATTCATTCATTCATTCATTCTTGAATTTATTTCCCAACCTTCATTACAAGGATAAAAAAAAATACACTGTAGATCTTTCAGTACAGGCAACACATGATTTCAGTCACTTGCACTGGTCAGTAGCCTGGCAGTCACAGTTCACACCAATTACAATTTTGGGTCACTTTGTTGCAGCTACTTAGATTCCACTTAAACATAAGGACAAACTTTCTGAAAGTAAGTTCTATACAAGAGCGGAATAGTCTAATTATGGAGTTGTGGGTTATCTACCTCTTGAGGATAGCTTCATGGTTTTTCTTGTGCACTGCATCAGTCCCAATGATCTTTTCACCTACCCACAGTTTCTTTCCATTGGCCTCAGAATCATGTGTGCAACCAGTGAGGTGATCCACCAATATATCTTAAGTAAACCTCCAAAATCAAACTCTGAAGAACAGTGAAATAAAAATGTTTTCCCTCCCAGAAAAACTCCAGAAGAATTTCAGTATAGGAAAAAGAGTGTCAATGGTAATTATAGCTCTTAAGGATGATCTCTGGAGTTAACATAATCTTTTATTTTACGTAGCATTTGTAAAAAGTGGTTCTCCCTTGAGTTTGGAGAGGCCTATTCTTGCTACAAAAAATGGAGAAACCACATTAGATTTATAATGGAGAGTGTATTCTCACAATACATTCAACTATGTCAGATGATGATGTAGCAGAGGCATTTGTACAACTTGAGAAGCTTAGTTAGGTTAAACTTGGCTAGTGCCAGGGCAGGAAACAGACTCCACAGGGACTGCTGGAACTCTGCTTTATTATTTCAGGGTATAATATCAGAACCCTGAAAGAGTCTCTCTCTCTCTCCTCTTACCCCAAAGAGAATCGTGGCAAGGCAGTCCTGAGTTGCTTTCTCACCCTCTCTTCTCTATCAGAGCTAAGCTGATGTTTATGTAACCGCCTTGCATTCCTTCTTCAACGTTCAGCCCATACTCTTCTACAGCAAGATTGTTCTGGTGTGTAGTGTGTTGTACAAAAACAGCCTCTGTAGTTAAATTTATGGGTGTGGTGTATTGTGGGAAGAGACGTAAACTCCCTGTTCTCTTATCTTGGAGGACACTGTTGTACTGCTGAACCTGACTGGTATCCCATATGCTATAAAGGACCCATTCTATGACCAGGGCTGATGTAAAGCTGAAGTCAGTTGTGAAATCAGGTACAGGTAGTCCTTGTTTAGTGACTACAACTGGTTCCAGTGAAGTGGTCACTAAGTGACATGGTCACTAAACAAATCATATGACTGACAGAGAAGGAGAGAGACAGCAAAGATCACCGGTTGCTGCCATCTCATTCAGATAAAGTTATTCTATACAGTGTCCTGTGCCTGACCCAGTTTTTCCCATTTTTTGTTTTTTTGCCAAGTCAGTTGTGAAATCAGGTACAGGTAGTCCTTGTTTAGTGACTACAACTGGTTCCAGTGAAGTGGTCACTAAGGGACATGGTCACTAAACAAATCATATGACTGACAGAGAAGGAGAGAGACTGCAAAGATCACCGGTTGCTGCCATCTCATTCAGATAAAGTTATTCTATACAGTGTCCTGTGCCTGACCCAGTTTTTCCCATTTTTTGTTTTTTTGCCTCCCTCTCACAGGGTGGAGAGATTGCTTAAACAAGTACACTT